ATTTGCCATGTATTATTGTGCACCTGGACAAACTATCACTAGAATGGGTTCAGGATCTTAGGGGGGATATCCTTTGACAGAGTTCTGTAGAGTCCCAGGGTCTGGAAAGGGCCAGCAAGCTTACCTGAACTTTGCTGTTTTTTTTATAATTGCATATTGAAAACAGAAAAAAGTCATATATTATACCCCTTATCTTTCAAGTGTTCACCAAATGATTATTGGGGCAAGGTAGAGGGGTCCTAGGGCTATCATTTCCCACCTTCAAAATGGGACTGTAGTGGCATCACCAAGTGGTGCCGAGTGCGTACGGGGGCATATTTCAAGCATTCATTTGTCCTCCATTTCTGGGAACCTGAACCATCTTTCACTGGGGATGGGTTAAGGGTCTTAGGGGGTATCCCCTGACAAAGTTTCAAAAAGTCCCAGGGGCTGGGTAGGGTCGGTTAGCTAACCTTATCTTTGATATTTTTCATCATTGTATATTGTGAAACGGGAATAGGTCAGCCATTATACGCCTAATCTTTGAAGTGTTCACCAAATGATTACCGGGGCTAGGTAGAGGGGCCCTAGGACTATCATTTCCCACCTTCAAAATAGGGCTGTAGTGGCACCACACCACTTGGTGGTGCCAAGCGGCTGGGGCATATTTCAAGCATTCATTTGTCCTCCATTTCTGGGAACCTGAACCATCTTTCACTGGGGATGGGTTAAGGGTCTTAGGGGGTATCCCCTGACAAAGTTTCAAAAAGTCCCAGGGGCTGGGTAGGGTCGGTTAGCTAACCTGAACTTTGATGCTTTTCTTCATTGTATATTGTGAAACGGGAATAGGTCAGCTATTATACGCCTTATCTTTGAAGTGTTCACCAAATGATTATTGGGGCAAGGTAGAGGGGCCCTAGGACTATCATTTCCCACCTTCAAAATGGGGCTGTAGTGGCACCACCAAGTGGTGCCAAGTGCGTGGGGCATATTTCAAGCATTCATTTGTCCTCCATTTCTGGGAACCTGAACCATCATTCACTGGGGATGGGTTAAGGGTCTTAGGGGGTATCTCCTGTCAAAGTTTGAAAGGGTCCCAGGGGCTGGGAAAGGCCGGTCAGCTAACCTGAACTTTGATGTTTTTTCATCATTGCATATTGTGAAACGGGAAAAGGTCAGCTATTATACGCCTTATCTTTGAAGTGTTCACCAAATGATTATTGGGACAAGGTAGAGCGGTCCGAGGGCTATCATTTCCCACCTTCAAAATGGGGCTGTAGTGGCACCACTTGGTGGTGCCCAGTGCGTGGGGCATATTTCAAGCATTCATTTGTCCTCCATTTCTGGGAACCTGAACCATTATTCACTGGGGATGGGTTAAGGATCTTAGGGGGTATCTTCTAACAAAGTTTGAAAGGGTCCTAGGGGCTGGGAAAGGCCGGTCAGCTAACCTGAACTTCGATGTTTTTTTTATCATTGCATCTTGTGAAACGGGAAAAGGTCAGCTATCATACGCCTAATCTTTGAAGTGTTCACCAAATTATTGGTGCAAGGTAGAGGGGTCCGAGGGCTATCATTTCCAACCTTCAAAATGGGGCTGTAGTGGCACCACCAAGTGTTGCCAAGTGCGTGGGGCATATTTCAAGCATTCATTTGTCCTCCAGTTCTGGGAACCTGAACCATCTTTCACTGGGGATGGGTTAAGGGTCTTTGGGGGTATCTCCTGTCAAAGTTTCAAAGGGTCCCAGGGGCTGGGAAAGGCCGGTCAGCTAACCTGAACTTTGATGTTTTTTCATCATTGCATATTGTGAAACGGGAAAAGGTCAGCTATTATACGCCTTATCTTTGAAGTGTTCACCAAATGATTATTGGGACAAGGTAGAGGGGTCCTAGGGCTATCATTTCCCACCTTCAAAATGGGGCTGTAGTGGCACCACCAAGTGGTGCCAAGTGCTGGGGCATATTTCAAGCATTCATTTGTCCACCATTTCTGGGAACCTGTACCATCTTTCACTGGGGATGGGTAAAGGGTCTTAGGGGGTATCCCCTGACAAAGTTTCAAAAAGTCCCAGGGGCTGGGTAGGGTCGGTTAGCTAACCTGATCTTTGATATTTTTCATCATTGTATATTGTGAAACGGGAATAATCAGGGGATAACCTCTAAGACCCTTAACCCATCCTCGGTGATAGTTGATTTAGGTGCCCAATAAAGCAGCACAAATGAATGCTTGAAATATATCCACACACTTGGCACCACTTAGGGGTACCACTAAAGCCCCATTTTGAAAGTGGGAAATGATAGCTCTAGGGCCCCTCTACATCGCCCCAGTAATCATTTGGTAAAAACTTCAAAGATAAGGCGTATAATAGCTGACCTTTTTCCGTTTCACAATATACATGTACAATGTTGAAAAACCTCAAAGTTCAGGTTAGCTAACAGGCCCTTCCAAGCCCCTGGACATATGGAAACTTTGACAGGGGGTACCCCCTAGGACCCTTAACCCATCCCCGGTGATAGTTGGTTCACGTGCCCAATAATGCAGGACAAATGAATGCTTGAGATATGCCCCACGCACTTGGCATCACTAAGTGGTGCCAATACAGCCCCATTCTGAAAGTGGGAAATGATAGCCCTAGGGCCCCTCTACCTTGCCCCAATAATCATTTGATGAACACTTCAAGGATAAGGCGTATAATAACTGCCCTTTTCCCGTTTCCCAATGTACAATGATGAAAAACATCAAAGTTCAGGTTAGCTAACTGGACCCTTCCAGCCCCTAGGACCCTACAGAAATCTGTCAAGGGATACCCCCTAAGGCCCCTTACCCATCCCCAGTGTTAGTTTGTTCTGGAGGCCGACAATGAAGAAAATATGAATGCTGGAAATATGCCCCACGCACTTGGCACCACCAAGTGGTGCCACTACAACCCCATTCTACTTGGTAGTGCCACTAGAGCCCTATTCTGAAAGTGGAAAATGATAGCCCAAGAGCCCCTCTATCTTGCCTTATTAATCATTTGGTGATCATTTCAAAGACAAGGCTTTTAATAGCTGATCTTTCATGGCATTTTTGGTACATATTGCAAAACAGCCAAAGTTCAGAGTACATAACTGGCCCTTTCCGGTCCCTGGGACTTCTTGAAACGTTGACAAGGGATTCTTCCTAAGACCCTTAACTCTTCCTCAGTGAAAGTTAGTTAGTTTAAGTGGGCCAATAATTGATGACGAATGATTGCTTGAAATATGACCCTGCACTTGGCACCACCTGGTGGTACCGCTAAAGCCCCTTCTGATAGCAGGAAATAATAATCCTTGGGCCCTTCTATCTTGCCCTAGTAATGTTGATCACTTTATAAATCATGGGTATAATACCTGCCTGTAATATCAAAAATGCTTTTGGAACCACTTGGTGGCACCACCACCACTTATTAGTGATAGTGGTAATTTATAGTCTTATAGATTCATTAAGTTGTCCCAGTAATAATGTTCGAAACATACTTCAACATAGTTTACACTTGTGCCATACCGGTATTTCGGTTTACAATCATTATATTAATCAAATTTCAGGTTAGCTAATTGGCCCTGACATAATCTTAAGGTCCCTGAAGGAGTTTAAAAGGGATTCTTCCTGAAGGAGTTAACCATTTCCTAGTGCTTGTTTGTTCAATTGGATAAAGATGATAAAGTAATTTATTTCTTATTTTTCAGTTTTAAAAAGAATAATTTTTTTGTTCAGGTGAGCCTTACTGCCTCTGAGTATCTGATTTATTATGTAAGTAATTGTTGCATTAATTTTCTAATCATTAACCATTAATTATCTAAAATAAAGTATTAAAAACAGTACTGCGTCTGAGTACTCTCAGTTCTTTGATGAATTTCCTTATTGGCTGCTAGCTTCTACGCGCTTAGTGGCTGCTGTTATTGGCTGCTAGCTTCAGCCTGGTTTAGAGTACGCTAGTAATATTTGATAATTTAATGCAATTAAACTACTTTTTGTATGTTTTTCTACTTTAGTTTAACATATTGAATATACATTTTAAATAAAGTTTGTATGTTTTCTTTATTTTAGGAATTATTTCAATGTTTGAATTCAAGTTACGGTTTATCGTTTGACCCCGATCTAATTTAATTGAAACATGTTGAAATGTCTCATTGTGAATGTACAAAATATTTACACATGCAATTAATTTAATATTCGATAAAATTGAGATATAAGTCTTTAGTAAGTAAGTTTGAAACAAAATAGTAATCGAGATTGGGGTATTAGTAATCTTTATTATAATACATGTACGTTGAATTATGGATGTTATTTTCTTGTCAAAATATCGCTAAAACAATATTTGAAACAAATATTGAATTATAAGTCCATAATATTGTTTGATAAAGTTGTACTTACATAAATAAACAATTTAATTGCATAACATAATTTTTCTAGCGTACTCTAAAGTAATCTATCGTACTCTGTTTAGTAGGCCTAGTATCCGTCCAAAATTGCTAAAATTCTACAGTAGATGTAAAAAAAGAAATATGGGCATATTCTAATAAAAGTTCATTATTTCCGTCCAAAATTGCTTAAATTCTACAGTATTTGTAAAAAACATGCAAAGGCTTTGGAAGCGGGGGGGGGGGGGGGGTTAAATATTGTGTATACTTTTTTGTTGATTTAGCCCCCCCCTTTTCAATTTGCTTCCGACGCCTATGAATGTCATTTATTTATAAAACATAACTACAAGTTAATCTATTAAATAGATTAGGTTTATCCAATATATGGGCATATTTTACAAAAAGAACACCCCCACCAAATAAGGATACTTTAAAACAAATTTTACTTACCACGATACAAATTGACATCCCGTGCTTATTGAATGTGCTTAAATAACTTGCTGAAGGATTTCCTCTGACAATACCCAACCTCGAATACAATTTTCATCTTTACTTTCTAATCTAAACCCTGTTATCCTCTCTGCCATTTAAGATATTTACACATAGACTTATCACTTTCAAATGACTGTCGATAGCGCGGCTGCAATTTAAAAGCGAAAGTAAAAATGACGTATGCAGTTTTTGTGTACTTGACTTCACGGGCTTCCGGTTGTTTCAGATCACGGGCTTATAGAATTTCCCTAGAAAATGGCCTTCGGATGTAAGAGTCCGAGGTATATAAGGAGCGTAGGGACGTTAACCGAGGCTCTTATTTGTAGGAGTATCCTCAGGTAGTGTAGATTCAAGTTTGCTCAATTCATGACCCACGGGGGTAGGGTGGAGCCACAATAGAGGCTCAAAGTTTTACATAGAAATATAAAGGAAAATGTTGTTAAAAATCTTCTTAAGAACAACAAAGCCATGATTGGTCATACTTATATGGAAGCATCCTCAGGTAGTGTGGATAAAGGTTTTTTCAAATCATGACCCCTAGGGATAGATTGGGGCCAGAATGAAAGTTCAAACTTGCAGGGAAAAAAGCTACAATAAGTCAAAGAAATATGTAAGCATCCTTAGTTGATTCAAGTTAATTCAAATCATGTGGAATTGGTGGGGACAAAAAACAATGTGAAATACTTGCTGATGCCCCTGTGTAAAAATTTAATATGCTCAGTAATTTAAACGAAGTTCAATTTGTTCCTTATAGAAGTTATGAAAAATAAAATTGACTTAAAAAACTAACTTTAATTAAAAATATTAAATTGATTAAAAAAAAATTTAGTAATTTACTACCATGAAACACGTCTAGTATATTAGGTCTGTTTTGAGTTGTATTCCACATCACTTAGTGAGGCTATACCCTTCTAATTAAAAAAGAAGTCTGTGAAAATACCCAGTATACAGGTATCAAATTGAATGTGTTAATAACACACAAAGTAGTGAACCAAATTTGCATGGCTGATGCATCAAAGGATGAACATTCTCAAACTTGCTTCAGATGCTGAATTTGAATTTTATTTTCTGGAGCAGTGACTGGTTTTAAAATTTAGGATAAGTCTTTTCCAAAGTAATCGCAAGCTCTCTTTAGATCAAAATTACATAAATGTTGCATCTTGAGATGTACACTCCTAGATTATTAGTTAAATGTCAGAGGGACTTTGCCTTACTTGAAGAGAACATTATTTTAGGTGATCTCTGTATTGTTTATCGACGTATACTCTTAATAGGGTTCTTAAGCTAGTGTGGTGTATTTAAAAAAAATCAATTTGAAATATATTTTGAATATCATAGAACATGTCCAGTAATCATATGAATGAATTGCTTTGCTAGATGTTGTTTAACGAATGCTTCTTGTATTACAAATATTTTAAAGTGAATTTAATCTAAAGGACTTGAATAGTTGAATTAGCCCTGAAAGAGTTTTTCTGTAACCCTCTTTGCTATTGGAAGATTTTTATTTTAAACAGTTTGACTGGTGCCGTCTTTTTTTCATTCCAGCGCCTATGGGTGAAATTTTATGAGGAAGAACGTCTACCCTTTGATAATATAGATGTGACATTAGATAAATCTCTAATGGAAAAAATCACGAACCTTTCAAACTGAAGCATATAGATACAATGGATCAAAATGAAAACCAATAAAGTGAAGGCTCAGTAATATCAGAAAAAGTCATTGAAAACAAATGCTCTTCAGCACAAGAAAAACTAAACCAACATGTGAAAATCTTCAACACTAGAGAGCTTTTTTATTATCAAATAGGAGACTGTTATATTTTCAATGAAAAAAAGATCAGTTGTACTAGTGAAAAAGCAGGTAATCTGGACTTCACAAGAAGTAAATGCATAAAGAATCAAAAGAGAAAGGAAATTCAATATGAATGTTGTGATGGATGTTCTCAGAAACTGATATGTAGAACTTGTAGTGTGAACAATCCCAAAAGTTCAGTAAGGAAAAATAAAAATAAAGAAATGAGTAGTCAGAACTTATTCCCCGTTAGTCATTCTGAAAAGGAAAAAGAGGATGGAAAGGAAACTGACATATTATGCTTGAAAAAGGTGAGCTGTAAAATTATTGATGCAAATACTGAGTCAGCTTTAGATACTGAAACTAAACACAGCTGTTCTATTTCATGTCATGCAGGAAATATACATAGCAGTTGTTCAAAAGGACTTAGTTGCAGTAATTCTGACTTCCAAAAAACAATAAAAAGAACATAGAACCTAATCTTTGTATCAGAATGCTTAAATGTAAGTTTTGTGGAATGGAGAATAAATGTGATGTCAACATTCAACATGTACAAAGGTGATCAATGAAAATTCTACAGCAATAATCGAAGAAGATATGGTTCATCCAACAGTTTTATCATGGGATAAGATGCAGCATTTAATTCAAGAGGTTTTACACAATCTTCTTCCAACTGGGGCCCACTTAGAAATATGTCTAACCATCCTAAAACTTCTTAACTTTCATGTAAACTCCCGTAATGAAGATTTTGGCGTTGACTTCAACTTCCTGAAGTTTTGTTTCGATAAAATGAAAGATTCTGAATTTGGAGTGAATGAACCAGAAAGTGATCTCCATATATCAAGAAACAAACTGAAGTTTTTGACTGTTTTGGGCACATGGTTAGGGAATGAATTTCATAATTGTTCTCGCATGATTTCTAACAGAGAGGACAATTTTAAGCACGAGCACATCAGCTGTATTGACAATTTACCACCTTCCAGTGATATTGTTAATCATATATTTCCTGTTTTTATGACAGCTTTTAATTTACATTGGCAGGGATTTAGCACTCCAGTCAATGAATATAGTGTGCCTTCCTTGGCCCTTAAACATAATTATACATGTACTGGTAAAAAGCAAATGATGGAAGAAGAGCAAACAGGGCCAATTTACCCACTTATTCAACTCATTCTAGAATTTGCAAACAATTCACTTATATCAGGTGTTGCACATGTAGTATTTTCTAAAATAAAGTACACAAAATAAAAAAAAAAAAGGTCTCTTTTTTACAAAGTGGTCATTAAAATCAACACTTCCTTGTATGTGAAGTTTTTGAAACAGAATTTTGTTGGAAAACTATGTAATGAACAGTTTTGTTTTAATTTGTATGTATATTTTAAAGGAAGAAGACACAGAACTTTATATTAGAAAATAGCAACCTGGGGTAGTGTATATTCTTAATTGTTCAAATCATGGGGTAGGGCGGGGCCACAGTAGGGAATCCAAGTTTTACATAGAATTATATAGGAAAAAAAACTTTAAAAGATCTTCTTCTCAAGAACTTAAACCACTGAACTAAAAAAATTGAAACTTATGTGGAAGCATCCTGGGGTAGTGTAAATTCTAAATTGTTTGAATCTTGACCCTTTGAGATTGTCAAGGTCAAGCTATGTATTACAAAGAGGGAAACCTGTTAAATGACGGAATGACCAAATTTACTCAGGTGAGCGATGTGGCCCATGGGCCTCTTGTTTCAAAATGTTGGCTAAGTGAGAAGATACCGTTGTGTATACTTGGTCTTTGCAATAAAGGTCTTGGAATTTTCGATTTACCTGTAGAATCACTTTATTGGGGTCAGAAAATAATATTTTGAATTCCAATTTATGATGATTTTTCTTCTTCTTCCTGACAGAAACATTTTTTGGAAACTCCTTCTTCTATAAACATAATTTACTTCATCAAAAGTTGGAAAATAATGTTTAATTTCCTTTTGATTTATCCGACTTTAAATAAATATAATCTTATCAAAATATTTTATTTCAGACTAATGATGAATTTATTATTTAAACTACTGATATGAGGCCAATAGTATATAGTCAAATGCTTATCTGCATTGAAAGAAACAGGCCCCTAGGAAGCAATTTAAGTTGAAAGGGGGAGGGACACAGCCATAAATTTTCAGTTGTGGGTACTATTAATTACCGATAAGCACAACAAGCAAATTCAAAGAATTGTGGTCCCCCGCTTTCGGTGTCTTTGTTGGTGGAATGTTATTTCTATGACATATTGTGTCTAATTTGAACATCATTTCATTAGTCAATTCTTAGAAATTATCATTGAAGTTGATTTTTTTGAAGGATGAAAACCCTTATCCTGACCGTTAAAAAGTTATGGCCAAAGTTAACGTTTTTCAAGAGTAGGTCAACTCCAAGGTCAAGATCAAAGGGTCAAAGTTGTTGATGAAAGGTTTTCTCACAAGGATTACATATGTGAAGTATGAAAGCCCTAGCTCTTACCGTTCAAAAGTTGTCGTCAAGTTTTTACATAAGAATGTAAATCTTTAAGGTCAAGGTCAAAATTTCAGAATGTTTGATATCCAATGAAAAGACTTGTCACAAAGAATACATATGTGAAATATAAAAGTCCTAGTATCTACCGTTCAAAAGTTGTGACCAAAGTTAAAGTTTTTTTAAAAGTAGTTAAAACTCCAATGTCAAGGTCAAAGGGTAAAAGTTGTTGGTATCCAATGAAAGGTCTTCTCAAAAAGATTACATATGTGAAATACGAAAGCCCTAGCCCTCACCGTTCAAAAGTTATGGTCAAGGTAAAAGTTTTTTCATAAGTATGTAAATCTCCAAGGTCAAGGTCAAAAGGTCAAGGTTGTTGGTATCCAATAAAATGTCTTGCAAAAGAAATACATATGTGAAATGTAAAAGTCCTAGTATCTACTGTTTAAAAGTTGTGACCAAGGTTAAAGTTTTTAAAAAGTAGTTAAAACTCCAAGGTCAAGGTCAAAGGGTAAAAGTTCTTGGTATCCAATAAAAGGTCTTCTCACAAGGATTACATATGTGAAGTACAAAAGCCTTAGTTCTTACCGTTAAAAACTTATGGTCAAGGTTAACGTTTTTTCATAAGTACGTAAATCTCCAAGGTCAAAAGGTCAAGGTTGTTGGTATCCAATGAAAGGTCTTGCCACAAACAATATATTTGTGAAAAATGAAAGTCCTAGTACCTTCCATTCAAAAGTTGTGGCCAAAGTAAAAGTTTGAAATTTCTGTGTAAAAGTGGGTCAAACTCCAAGGTCAAGGTCAAAAGGTCAAATTTGGTGGTACCCAAAGAAAGGTCTTGTCACAAGGAATACACATGTGAAATATGAAAGTCATAACTCTACTAAATCAAAAGTTATGGGCAAGGTTAAAGTTTTTGTGACGGACAGACTGACAGACGGACAGACGAATGAGATTTAATGTCCCCTCGCTTTCGCGAAAGCGGGGGACAAAAAAGGTCATCAAGCATTTCACCAAGGGGGCACGAGCATTTAGTATCTATGTTTTCATAGTATGAGAAATACCTAGTTAATTAGGTATTAACCAGTGTGCATCATGAAGCGTTCGTCTTGATTAAGAATAATTTTGTTTACTGGCTAAGATAGTGAGTAGAAGGTGTGGAGCGGGGGTTGTAGAGATACAATGTACCTAGTGAAAGTTACATATAAATTCTAGATTTCCTATAATGTTATATGTACATAGTAAATGTACCCAATTCCTAGTAAAAACTACTATTAAAGTTGTGATTGTATGGACAGTAAATTAACAAGTTTTTTTTATTGAATTTTACTAGTTATTTTTTTTCAGTGCATGTGCAATTTATGCTCAATCAATAAAGTATACATCTATGAAATTAAGAAATCTTTTGTGACTTATTTGGTACCCGGGTACTGGGAAGCTAGCGAACGTTTATAGGGACTTATGCAGGAACTTACCTTTGGGCATTTCTTCCTTATGACAGCATTTAATTTAATTTTCAAATTCTTCAGAATTGCCTCTGTAGTTTCTATGAAATTATGCATTGTCAATTTAGCTGCATTTGACCAGAAACGTGTTGTTTTCGTGTATTTATTTTCTGTAAAATATGTTTTTGAAGTGCACAATGTCTCTTTAGTTTTACACATTTATCAGGATACAGGTTGGTTCTCTGTTACAAATACAAAATTCTATTTTGAGGATAATATTGCCTTCCTTGATATTGGGAAATTTAAAAGTATGATTTAAGTAGGCCTATTTAAGTTGTAGAATTAGGCATAAATGTTCAGTGAGAAAGGAATCATTATTACTCCTCAATTTAACATACTCCAGTAATTTTTTAGCTCTACTGGTCAGAGACCATAAGGGGTTGCCCGTCCATCTGTCTGTAAACAATTTTTCAAACTGCCACTCCTCCTACAGTTTTGGTATGATTTCAGTATAACGGCACACAAATAGACTAAATTAAGATACATATTTACTGCATCGGATTTTGATTTCGATGAACGGTGTTGACATGGTTACTAAAAATAGAAATTTCTTTGAAATTCCTTTAAAACTCTACTCCTCCTACAGTTTTGGTCTGATTTCAATATAACTTGGCACTCAAGTAGACTAAAATAAGTCGGGTTTTTTTATTTCGATGAACGGTGTTGCCAGGTTTCTAAAAATAGAAATTTCTTTGAAATTCCTTTAAAACGCTACTCCTCCTACAGTTTTGGTCTAATTTCAATATAACTTGGCACACAAGTAGATTAAACTAAGATACATAATTTAGTGCATTGGTTTTTGATTTCGATGAATGATGTTGCCATGGTTGCTAAAAATAGAAATTTCTTTGAAAAACATTCAAAATGCTACTCCTCCTACAGTTTTGGTCTGATTTCAATATAACTTGGCGCACAAGTAGACTACACTACTGTATATCGGTTTTGATTTCGAAGAACGGTGTTGCCATTTTTACTAAAAATAGAAATTTCTTTGTTGCTAAAATAACTTTGCATAGTAAATTTTTTTTGAAAAACATGTTGCCAATTAAAAATAGAAATTTCTGTAAAATTAATTAAAAAGTTACTCCTCCTACAATTTTAGTCTGATTTCAATATAATTTGGCACACAAGTACACTACACTAAGATAATACATAATTCTGTATATCGGTTTTGATTTCGAAGAACGGTGTTTCCATTTTTACAATGATATGGATTTAGTATGTAATATTCTATTTATCATATATTTAAAAAACTTCATATGCGAGGTCACATATAGTGGTTGAAGAATGTTTGTGCTTGTTAGTTACAATTTTCTATAAAAATCTAATAGAGCCAAGTTTGGGTAACTGAAAAAAATTAAGACCACAGATGCCATTAAAGAATTATTTTATATGAATATTTTAATAAAATCAAGTAAATGAACTTTTAAACTAAATACAAACGTTACTTCCGGTTTGATATGACTGATATGGCTTTTCGGAACCCGTATCACACCGAGAATCGGTATATTTACTATAATATATGTAATAGTATTATTTTTTATGATTTCAATGAACTGATGTTGCCACTTAATATGCAAGTTCACATATGGTCAATGAATATTTCGTGCTTGTTTGTGACATTTCTCTTTAAAATCTAATAGAGCCTATTTTAGGTTACTGAAAAAAATTTAGACCATAAATGTCATTGAAGAAAGATTTATTATGAAAATTGACTTTTAAACGTTATACAAACGTTACTTCCGGTTTGATAAGGATTTTCGGCCCGCCGGTCCGATGTGATATGGATTTTCGGAAATCACCCGTATCACACCGTGCAGAATAAAAGTTTCAATCCAAGTGTTAAATGTTGAGACCAGTTACTCCTCAGAGACTACAATTTTATGTAATATCTTTTCATTGATTTCAATATAATTTGGCACAGTCATAACCCACGATAATGAATTGACCATAGGATTTTTAAAATGCTTACTTTTTTATGTGGTTGTTGAAATTCCTTAAATTTATAACAACTTATCCATCAGAACAGAAGTGGAGTTTACATTGTAATCAAAGTACTCAGAAATAATGAAATCCGGGCTCATTTACAGGGTAATGAACAAAGACCGTGATGACAGTTTAAAACAAGTTCAGATATTTAGAAGACATGTTACACACAATAATATCTCTATGGCAATATATATTATTAAAAAGTTTTTTTTAAAAATTAAATAAAATGTAGCTAGAATTGAACAGCGTAAAATATTTATCACTTTTATCGTTTCGGGGTTTTATATACCAACAGAAGTAAATAAACACTGATGCAGCAAAATTAATTAAGGTCAAACGAT